AAGACTTATTTTTAACCACCAAGATCCAATTTATACTACCTTGTGGGGGGGGGGGGTCGCTGTTGTTCAGTTTCCCAAGGTATGTCATTTCCTTGTAACAGAGGACAACTAGACAGGAAACAACTGATGTGTGTCCCTTCAACTAATTCTGTTTATTTTTCCAGTGAAACCACTATATGTATCAACTAGAACTAATACAGTAATTTCATGTTTTAAAATATAAACTCAAAACTATCTAGCGTTACAACAGAAGTACTTCAGAATAGGGAAATTGTTACAAGATTTTCAGTAAAAAAAGTAACTTTAGATTGTGGGGTGGGGATAAAATTCTCTACTCGGATTATTTTAAATCTTGTAACTTCTTTTCAAATATGTTATTCAATTTGATAGGCTTTGGACTTCTTCTAGAAAGAGTCCTGGTTCACAAAAGTCTTGTGAAAGACACACTGTGCTAAAATCCTAGGACTACCTGTTGAGGTCTGGGCTACAATTTTTCATTAAACCCTGAAGGACTTCTCAATAGTGGTAAATGTACTTTTCTTTTCATGACAAATCCACTTTATATAGTACCATTCCTTGTAAGTGAGGAAAAAAAGAAAAATACTTGTGTTGAGTCTAATTTTAGGTCAATGAAGGTTTGTAGTTTTTCTGTCAAACAAGAACCTTTGCTGTGAATTCCAAAAGTAAACAGACATGCTTAAAAAAAGATCTCATTTTATGAAAGATTCTACATCAAAGCCTTTCATAAAAGTGTGTAGAATCCACTAAACATCCTGTTCCGTTTTTCATTCTGTTTGCTTATCTAAATTGTTTCATTAATAAAACTAAGACAATAAAAGAGCACATGTCTCCCCCAAGAATTATCTTCCAAGGATATTCAGATTTCTTTACACTGTTTACCAATCCTTTATAGGTATTAGAAAGAAAAAGGAAAAAAGAAAAGAGAATCTCAGCTCCATCTCTGGAAGAAAAGCACTGGATATTAAAATTAATTATTTAGATTGAGTTTCTATGAGGAGGCAATAATGGGTTATTTTATTTATTACAAAGGCAATACTTTTCATTATTAGAAATATATTTCCATTCAAGCTATGTTTCACAGCAAATCATATTATTGAATCAGCCATCTCAGAGGTATTTTGAATCTAATACTTTATTCCAAAGCATGTATTTATCTCTAGTGTTAGGGATTCATTTTCAGGAGAAAACATTCTTTTCAGTCTTCAAAATACTAAAATTACTGGATATTATACAAGTAAAATGCTCACTATAACGCACTCAAACAATTCTAAGGCAGATAAAACAGAAAGTCAAAACCTTTAACTTACTTGTAAAGGGGGGAATTAGATCATATCTATGCATTCAAAGGCAGGCAGGCCCGAAAAGTTTACTTTAAGAAACCTCGGGCCAGAGATTTAGCTGAGTGGTGCCGCCATCTGCCTCACAAGCGCAAGGACCTGAGTTCTACCCCTGGTGCCAAAAAAGAAAAGAAACCTTTACAACTTCTTTGTAATCCCCTCCCCATATAAAGTTCTTATAAGAAAAAACATGCAAAGAAAAGAAAGCACAAAAATGGGAGGTGATTGCAATTTCAGTATCTGAGGTCAAAGTTTTAAGACAATTTAGAAATGTGTCTTTTTCCAAACATATTTGCAGAAGATATTTATATGTTAAAGGATATAGACTAATGTTAAGAAGTAGCTGTCTTCTGAAGATCAGTCAGTTAACTGACTATGGAAAAAAAAAAAAACCTGTTGCTGGGTGTGCTAGTGCACACTTACAATCTCAGTACTCAGGGAGGCTGAGGCAAGAGGATCACCACAAATTCAAGGCCTGCCTGAACTGCACGGTGAGACCCTGTCTCAAAAAACAAACAAACAGTTACAGAAACACTGACAGAGAACTCGAAGAGAAACCAGAACCAGTGATCTGGATGAAGGACGTACAAGCAAGAACAAGGCACAAAGTCCTTTTTCTTCTCAGAGTCAGCCCAAAGTACGCACAAAAGACACAAAGATGTCCCTAGCACAAGTGGTAGTTGCTGCTGCAAAAGCAAAAACTGCACATCTGTACACTAACTGGGATACACAAAGCACAGCACAGACTTTCCATGAAGAATCTTAATCAGACACTGCCCCCAGCAAACAGGAAAACAGGTTATCCACACTGCTAACTGATGCACAGAAGGTATCAAAGGTACCACTGGGAGGACAATCTTCTTTCCTGCTTCAAGCTATGAATTCAAGGAGCCAAAAACTACTTTTACATATCTCAAATAAAGAAGTAAAAGAGGGTATATACATGCACAAGCAACTTTCTATAAAATCAGCTTATGAGAACCAGGATAAATTTCAAAACACTGGAATACCTGTTCCACTGTGTGGTACAAAATCCTAAAAGAAGACTTCGCAGTATACACCAGTAAATAAACAAAATTCTTGCCTTCACAAAGCTAATGCTATAGTAGTAAGAGCCGGAAGAAAATAGGGTAAATAAACAAAATATATGTGTTAAAGGTTGGTAAGTACAATGGAGAAAGATGAAACAAGGAAGGGATACTGAGAGGAAGCAGTTAAGTGTTTCTATAAAGTGGACAGGAAAGGCCTTGTAGAAAGTGATATTTGAATAAGGAAGAAAAGGAAGGCACAAGTCTAAGAAGTCTACAAATGCAGATTTAAGGCAGTATGAGTCTGGCTGAAAAAAAAAAAAAAAAAAAAGGTCTTATGATATAAACAAGAAACTCAAAACTAACTCAACCCCCAAAATACACCCATCTCACAAGCTGAAGTCTGCCTTGACTTTCACTGGCCTTCCACAGGTATAAGAGTCTTTCAGGAACTCTTGTACCTTTTTGTGAGCTCTGCTGTCATTAGGCACCTTACACGAGCAGAACATTCAGGCCAATTGGTGGAGATGGGGGAAATGTTGGGCCCATAAGCATGAACCAAGAATATGAGAGGTGGGTAAGAGGAAAGCCTAATCAGCCTAATCAGAAAATGAAAGAGAAGAGAAAATGAAATGACCCCAAGCAAAAGGGTCAAGAATAATTTCTGAGGATTCAGACAAAAACAGAAGAAAAGAGCAGAATAAACACCCATTCTGGTTGGCTTGAGTTGGCAGGCAACAGTACTCGAAGTCAATAAACACCGATGCGATGGCTGGCAAAGGGAGTACTCAGACATACAAAGAGACCCAGAGCCAAGGGAAGAAAATGCACACTGGAGTTCACAAACATAGGCTGGAAGCTGTGTACAGGATATGATACAAACTTAGAGCTCCAGGCTGTCATGTAAATACAGTGGGTTTACAACTCCATAGAGAGTTGTGAACTTTGCCTGCCACCCTTCTTAATTTAAGGGTGCTGCTAGTGAAGGTGTAACAGCCTCCAGGAACACCTGTCTCTACCAAGGGACTCTGCTGGGGTCAGACTGAGTATCACAGCCAGGACCCACGGCCATATTCTTAACAATAGTTTCCTTCTCTCTTACACACTTACAGACACAGCCATGTGCTTTAATCCTTTCTAATTTGGTCTAATTCAGGAAAGCATACATTTATAAAAATTATGTCCATTCCTTTTCTTTGAGCCCAGCCAAGGACTAACTGCTTCCACTAGTCGAGGAGCTGTTTCTCCCCATCACCAACACATTATACATGTTTAATAATGGTGATACTGGGGCCAGGGATTTAGCTCAGTGGTGCCACCGGCTGCCTCGCAAGCGCAAGGTCCTGAGTTCGATCCCCGCTACCAACGCCCCCCCCCCAAAAATATGGTGATACTGAGTGGCACCTACAAGACAGTAGGCTGCAAGTTCTAATTAAGTCTTTTCTATACGACCAATCACAAGATGATTGCAGCTTTAAGTTACAAAGAAGGGTACCTAATATCCTTTGCAAAGGAAATCAGTATCTATCCCAACTGCCTTCTTGTATTTGCTAGCATTAAAGTCTAGAGGAAATATTCCTAAGGACCTTCTAGAATATTTAAATCCTATATTCTTCAAAACCATTTTTTTTCCAAAGAGGACAAATAAAACTTTCAATCTTCATAAACAGTTTTCAGAATTCAGTAGGTGTTAAGACATAAAGTTAATTTATATGAAATGGCACAGGAACAAAAAAATTGATGAAATATTAGCTAAGACCATATCCACGTTCAATACTGCATAAATTAATTTTTATATCACTTAAAACCAACGAACTGGAACTTCTAAAAATTTCTGACAGCTCAATTATATCCATTTTATTTCCTAAAGCAAAATAATTAAACTGTCAACATTTTAATGAGTTTCTCTACACAAGTGTGTGCTCCTGAATTCTGATGAAAACTGGTCAAAAGCTAATTGTAAAACAAGGTCAAATGAGAAAAGATCTGTTCCAAACACAAATCAATACACCTTCAGATGCTAGAACAGGCAAAGAGAACACCTCAAGATCCATTTTTGTTAGAAGTAGCAATGTCCTGGTGACTCTGTGAGAATTTTTAAAGTATTTAGTTTTTAATTCTTTTAAGCTTATAAAAGCAACAGTGAATAAGCTTTCATTCCATAATGAACTAATGTGTAAATCTGGGGGAAATCTGGCTTTCTGAAAGATTCTGTAGGTTTTTCTACCCAAGATATGAGGAATATATTACAAACAGTGTTTTAACTTCTGGATTTGCCAGCATGAAATTCAGAATAAAATAGGCAATATGATTAGAGCAACCATGTGAGAACTTATATATCTGCATGTATGTTTTAATTTTCTCCAAATCTCAACATTCCAGAAATTACTATTTTTGCTGATCCTGATTTTTATCTTTTAATTTATAACTTCGCTTTATTTCACTTATTTCTAGTTAGGGTCAGGCTTCTGTGGAACAAGCAAGAAACAATAGGCATTTAAAGATCTGACAACAGTCATACCACCGCCCTGCTTTACTCTATCACTACACTAATGAACAAATAAAAGTGTTCAAGAACAGTAAAGGCCAGAAAAGATCCTATTCAAGTACTTACCAGGAGCAATGGTTTCCAGTGTGTCAGAACTGACTTTGCGAGTACTTGCACAATGATGAAGGGTGGAGCCTGAAAATACCAAGTAAAAAACTACATCATCTTCAACTTTGTCCTCTTCAGCAAGCAGTACAGTAAGAACACAATCACCCTAGGAAAGGAAAAGATACAGCAAGTTTGCATCAGTAAGGTTCCTCTTAGAAGCCTATCTCCGTAAAATATCATATTTAAGAAAAAAACATCGAAACTGAAACTGTGTACCTAGTGCTAAAATGTTTATGCAAATATAAACACTAAGTACTTAATGTGCTAGGCAATATTTTTAGATGCTAAGATCTCTGTTCCCTTTCAACTTAATTTTTTGTTTGTTTGTTTTGAGACAGGGTCTTCCTGTGTAGTCCAGGGTGACCTTAAACTCACTATGTAGCCCAGGCTAGCCTTGAACTCACAGTGATCCTTCTGCCTCAGCCTCCTGAGTACTGGGATTACAGGCCTGGCTCAGTTTACATTTTAGTGAAGGTGATTACCTAAAACAAGTAAAGTAACATTGTAACAATGTGTTTACTTAAAACAAGTAAAGTAACATAGTAACAACATATTTACTTAATGAACAGATGGGGAGTGGAGGGATTTTTTTTTAAATAAGGCAGAGAAGATGGAGGGAGTTAAATTAAATAATTACATCCTCACAGTCAGAATGCTCCTCAACTCATGTTCCATTTGTGGCAAAAATTCTCTACATTCTACATCCTATGAATCACTACAATCGATCCACCCTCCAACAAGGATGGGGCCCTCTAGTGACCTGTATGGAAAGCATGAAAGGGCATAAACTTTGGCTCTAAATAATGCGTGAAGTTACAACTGAAAGACTTCCCTTAGATCCACTAAATGTCACTTTCCTTGACTTCCTAGAGACAAATCTTTCCTTCTTACAGGTAATATATGAACATTTTTGAACAAATTCAGCTCTCATCTGAATCTATTAGGATGAAAGGTCACTTTAAAGAAAAATAATAATTTGTGTCCTCTAACCATTAGACATACCGGCTCTTCTTTATCCATCCCCCACTAAGACTCTGTAACCAAACAAAAATATACCAGTGCCCATGCCTTTGTAATTATTCTTTTAAATTTTTTTTGGTGCCCAGGATCGAACTCAGGACCTTGCGCTTACAAGGCAGGCAGGGCGCCACTGAGCTAAATCCTGGGCCCTCTTTGTAATTATTTAGAAGACATCTTTGTCCTTTAGTTACAAATATTCTTCTAGCCATTTTTATACATTTTTTACTGAGGCCAATGGTTACATATATTCTATAATGGGGCCAGGAATTTAGATCAGTGGTGCCGCCGCCTGTCTCGCAAGTGCTAGGTCCTGAGTTTGATCCCTGGTACCAAAAAAACCCTCAAAACATGTATTCTATAAAACAATTTAATTACCATTTTTCTATTTGTAAACACTGTATAATTTATGCTGTAACCATAAACTGACAAAAGATTTAAAGCATAAATGTTTAAGACACTGAGATTTAATGTTATTAAACTTTTAATGATAAACTATGGAAAAAAATAAAGCCTGGCCATTTTAACATTGAAATTAGGAGGAGAAAAAGTCTCATTACGTGTAACATTTTTTCCTATCTAGTTTAGCAACAATAAAGTGTGTGAGAGAACTATGCCACCCTGTGGCTACATCTTATTAAGCCTAGGAGCATAATGAAGCAAACATCAGTTTTTTACTGAACACTGAAAAGCAAGGATCAAGTCTATTAACAGAAATGCTTTAGTAGATCAATTCTGGAAACAGAGTTCAAAGTATTACCTAGAGCCCTGAGTGTGTCTTACTCCGGTACCTTATACAGCACCCTACATATGACAGGTGCTCAAATCTGTAATGTGTAGGAAGTCAGAACCATAATCCCAAACTGTAATTTATTTTACCTTGAAGCTACTTATTAACAAGACTACTGAACTGTGGATTTCCAAAGCACCCTAACAAAAGGAATATCACATCAATAAAACAGAATTATGACAAACTTCAGTCACTACTCAGAATTACACTTCTGTCTGGAGTGAGTATAGGTCCCTCTCTTGGCAAGTTTTGAGAAGCTTAAACTGATAAAATGTTCAGCATCTTGTGGAATAATGTAACCAGTTAAAACAGCTGCAGCACATATAAAAAGAGTCAGTTTCACAAGGTATTGCAGTAGCATTATATTCTGGAAAAAAATGCAAATGAAAGTTTAAAAATGTCATCCTTTTCAACACAGGATGGAAACTGATCCTTAGGTCTACATTCAGCCTCCCACTTGTTTTATAGGACTCACAAGCTGAGAAAGTTTTTTACATATTTAAATGGTTTTACATATTTTCAGATATTAAATGGTTTTTAAAAAATATCTTTAATGTGAAAATTATGCAAAATTCAAATTTCAAGGTCCATAAAGTTTTATTGGAACCCAGTCTTCATTTCCCTTCATAATTTTTAATTGAAATTTTTCATTTTTATTTCTAACCTAGAATTCTAAGAATACTCCTTTTTTGTAAGATCAAGGATTTCCTCTCCACATGAGACCCCACATTTTGTTTGGGGACTCTCTGTGAACACATTAATGAGGTCTGGAGCCTTCCTTTTACTGAGGGCAGAGGACATGGTTAACACAAGCAGTTGAAATTCTTTTATCAAAGCTTTTAGTTTTTCCACTTCTAAGACAAAAGTTTTAAATTGCTTTCATACCTTTAATAGTGTTTTTTTAAATGTTAAGTCACACAATCTTATGTCCACAATATTAACCAGTATGGAACAAGGATGCTACATTCTCTTCAAGGCCACTTAAACTTTAAATTCCAAAGGCATTTGGAATTAAAGCACCTGTTCTCCTTCAAAGAGGATTGTCTACACTCTCTGACACAGTCACTGAGAACAAATAACTATTTCAGCCACGTGATTCCTATTTTACTTAAGTAGTACCAGGCATCAAGTATTACTGGAGATGGCCTTGAAAAATCAAGCAAGTAGAATGGATAAAAACTAAAAACAGATCTTACTAAGAATTTTTATTGAGGTAGTTGCTTTAATTCTACCCTCCTTGAAGGGTACCCTGGTAAACTGTTCTGCTATCCACGGAAAGGACCCACCCACAAAATAGATAAATCAATTTGACTGCGAAGTTAACAAGTCTATCATGTAAATGAACTTATTAATAAGAGCAGTTTGCAAAACATTCTCAGGCCAGGGATTTAGCTCAGTGGTTCCGCCTCCTGCCTTGCAAGTGCAAGGACCCAAGTTTGATCCCCCATACCACTCTCAATTATAATTTTAGCCAGATCCAACCCCAGAAAAAGAACGCATGTATGTCTCCACTTCTCTAATAATCTCAACAAACAGTGCAATTCTTATAAAGTATTTTCATAAGAATGAATCTATTTTTGCAGGGTCTTATAGTTAGTTTTGCCTGTAGATGATGCAAAAACTAAGGAAAATGACAATTCTATACTAGACATTATTTTGTAGCTACAAATGATCTCCAGAATATAGATACATTGCGATTCCAAAAAATCATCAGATCAGTCACTTATTTGCTTATAAAAACAGATTTTTATAAAAAGGTGATAGCCAGGCATGATAGTGAATGCCTGTTAACCCAGGAGGGGAGGCTGAGGCAGGAGGATCACAGGAAAGGCAAATGTATGCGAAGGTGGGCCTAATTAAGAGAGGTCAGCACTTATAAAAAGAATAGAGTTCTTGCTATAAGAGAAAACCTTCAGCAAGCACAAAGCATCTCAGGTAACAATACTGCTGTGGTTCTGCTCACAGCAGTTCATTATTAGCATACCTTAAGTCATACTGTTTTCTAACTTTTTAAAACTTGGCTCAACTTTTGAGCATACAATATTGGTTAAGATGATAATCTCTTGCATAAGACTACATTTGAATCCAGGTGATATATTACTTTCTACCTGCTTAGCCTAAAGTAAGTTATTAAGTTCTCTGTGCCATAAGGGAAGACAGCAATCATACAGTACTTACCTGGTACAGTTATTGCAAGAATTAAATGACTGATAAAAGGAAAGCACATAGGGCAGTGTAAGGCAAAGTTTTCAATGAAAGATTGCTATTACAGTTTGAGCATTCCTAATCCAAAAATCCAAAATGCTCCAAAATCTGAAACCTTTTGGGCATCATACCAGTGCTCAAAAGTTTCAAATGCTGGAGTATTTCAGATCTCTGGATTATGGGGATGTTTAACTGCTGAAGTCTATGCAACTATTCCAAAATTTTCTAAAATTAAATTCTAAAAAACTCCCAGTCTCAAACATTTGTTAAGAGATACTCAACTAGTTTTCTGTAGCTCAACGTAAACCCATGGAAACATATTTTATTCACTGGGATGCCCTGTTTGTATAGAATATAATAAGCAGCAGGCGTTCTATATACACATAAAGGGAACACTAAAAAAAAATGATGGCTATTTCTAGATAGCAGGAGGTAAAAGGCAGTTGTAATATGCTTTTGTCCTTTTCTGTATTTTCTAATTTTAAAAAATAAGGAATTATTATCTTTAAAAGAGAAACACTTTAAAAGTAATTTGCTCCCTTATAAATACATTACCATGGGGGCAAAAAGAACTGTGACAGATATCACCTGGATACAGTTCAGAGTAATCACCAAAATTAGACAAATTAACATCATATTTCTCCTAACAGCATGTATTGAAGATACAGCATCACTTATCTGTATTCTTAACAAAAATGCCATAATCTTTAGTGAAAATCATCAGACAACCCAAAGCAAAGGGCTTTTGTATATAAAAGTTAGCTTGTATTCTTCAAAAATTTCACTAGTGAAAATTAAAGATCAAGGCACTGTTCCACATTAAAGAAGACTAAAAAGACTTCCCAACTAAATGCAATAAGTGATCCTTAAATTAATGCAAAAAAGGAAAATTGCTATTAAAAACATTATTGGGACAACTGGCAGAATATGAATGAGGCTTTCATAAACTCAACATTAATCAATGTTAAAATTTCTGGTTTTGGTAATTGTGCCATGGTTATATGAAAGAATATATTTGTTCTTAGAAAATACACGAATATTTGGAATCAAAGAGCATGAACTGTACAACTTTCAAATGATTCAGATAAAAACAG